GAAGATGGAGGTAGTCTTGAACAAGACTTTGTTATTCCCATCATTAGAATGGGTGGACTAGGCAAGACAACTCTTGCTCGGCTCATTTATAATGACGAAAAATTGGAAGGCAGGTTTGACTTGAAGGCATGGCTTTGTGTTTCTGAGGTGTTTGATGTTGCTTGAATAACAAGAACCATTTTAGAATAGGTAACTAGGGAAAAGTGTGATCTTAATTATTTCGATTCACTTCAAAAGAAATTGAAAGAGGAGTTATTTGGACAAAATTTCTTCTTGTATTGAATGATGTTTGGACTAAGGAATATGGCAACTGGGATAAATTGAAGAGACCTTTCATGTTAGGAGCTTCTAGAAGTAAAATAATTGTCACAACTTGAAATATGGATGCTGGGATGATGATGAGAGGAGATAATGGAGTTTACAATTTAGAATTGCTACAAGTTGATGCTTGTTTGCCATTATTTACACGACATGCACTGGGGAAAGAGGACTTTGCTGTATACCTAGACTTATAAGATATTGGTGAGAAGCTTGTTGAGAGGTGCAAAAGATTGCCATTGGCACTAAAATCACTCGATGGCGTCTTGCGGGGAAAGCAGGGTCATGATGAGTGGGAAAATATATATATAACAATAATATATGGAGTTCTTCAGAAGATGGAAGTGAAATTCTTCCTGTTCTAAGATTGAGCTATAATCATTTTCCTTCTCACTTAAAGCCATGCTTTGCTTATTGTGCTTTGTTCCCTAAAGACTATGAATTTGACAAAATGGAGTTGGTCCGATTATCAATGGTTAAGGACCTATTACAACAACAGTCACATGAAAAGAAGTAAATGGAAGAGGACACTGGTCCGATATTTCTAGGAGTTGTTATTAAGATCACTCTTTCAACCATCAAGTAGAGTTGAATCGTGGTTTGTGATGCATGACCTCATAAATGATTTACCTGTAGATGTTGTTGGAGAATACATTGCAATCTTGAACGTAGCATGAATGATAGAAAATTAGAGAAGGCAAGTCGTTTGTCATTCACTTCACACTTTTTTGAATTCCCAAAAAGATTCATAGTCTTGAATAAATTGAAACATTTGAGAACATTATTGCTGCTGAGAGCACTCGATGACTACTATGTCTCCTATTTATCTAACATAATCTTGCATGATTTCTTGCCAATTTTAAATCACTTAAGAGTGCTATCTCTTTACAAAAATGAGATAAGTAAGCTACCAAATTTTGTTGAGAAGTTGAAACATATTCGGTACATTGATTTGTCTCATACAAAAATCAAATGTCTATCTGAATCAGTGGATTCTCTTCTCTTCTTACAAACATTGTTATTATCTTGTTATAAAAAGCTTTTTGAGTTGCCTATGGTGATTGGAAATATAATTGATCTCCATCATCTTGATATCACTAATACACCATCTTTAAAGGAGATGCCATCAGGAATATATAAATAAATTTAACATATTAATTGATAGAGAGAACAAAAAGGGCATTTTTTTGAGTTAGATATTAAATTGGATGGTTACTAAGTTTTTAGTATTTTTTTATATAGAAGTTAGAAATTAAATTTTAAATTTGTAATTAAAAATACTTCTAATTTTGTCATTGAATTACATGACTTATGCATGATGCTTTCAATACTAACAAATGTTGAGTTTTCCTTTTTTTTTTTTTTTTCTTCCTTTGTGCATTTAAAATAAATCTTGAAACCGTTATGAAATTTTACTCTGAATATTTTAGTTAAGCAGGGGGATTTTTCTTTATTACCTTTCTCTTTAAAAAACAAAAGAAGCCTCAAAGACAAAGGAATGAATGCTAAAGGGAGCCTCCAAGTTGAAGAAATTTCATAGGTACGAAGTCAAGAAATTTATGACCAAGAAGAAAACAAAAATAATGAAATTAGATGGAAAAGGCCTAAAGCTGAGAGATTGCATATCTTATCCCTTTTTCTTTTTATTTTATTAATTTTTTAACTTATACATTAATATTTATATCTTTTATTATAAATTTATATAAAAATAAAAATTA